CATGAAAGATGAAACTTATGGGGAAACATCCTCAGGTAGTGTAGATTCAAGTTCAAATCATGACCCCCGGGGGTGGGGCGGGACCAAAATGGCCGATCAAAGTTTTACATAGAAATATATAGGAAAATTCTTTAAAAATCTTCTTATCAAGAATGACAAAGCCACCATTCATCATATTTAAATGGAAGCATGTTCAGGTAGTGTAGATTCAAGTTTGTTCAAATCATGACCCCCAGGGGTAGGGCGGGGCCGAAATGGCTGACCAAAGTTTTACATAGAAATATTTAGGACAATTCTTTAAAAATCTTCTTCTCAAGAATGTCAAAGCCATAATTCATCATATTTATATGGAAGCATGCTCATGTAGTGTAATTCAAATCTGTTCGAATCATGACCCCCAGGGTAAGGGCGGGGCCAAAATTGCCGACCAAAGTTTTTTAAGATATACATAGGAAAATTCTTTAAAAATCATTTTATAAAAAATAGCAAATCCATGATTGGTCATTGGACTACTTTTGGATTTATACTTTACAATAAAAAGCCATTTTCTACTTTTTCCTACCCTTAGTGCTCAGGTGAGCGATGTGGCCCATGTGCCTCTTATATATTCTTTCTTATATTCTTTGAAATACCATACCTCACAAAAAAGAAGCATAAAGAAAGCAGTCATTCAAACCATTGTTTTAATCAAACATGTAAATTGTAATGTCAAATAAAATCTGAATCTCCATGATTTCATTCTCTAGCTACGATGAAAAATATATTTTTAACAATTTCTGAATACTTTTAGACTTCCTGGAATTAATTCATTTTAATATGTCAATGATAAAACATTGATTTGTATTATTTACTGTTTTAAATCAGCTAAACTTTTGGTGACACATTATTTGAAACGGAATTTGAATTAAAACCATTTACATTATCAAATATTTTTTGACTTTATATTGAAAAAAGAATGATACATAAATAATTTGAAAATGCTACGATTTTATAAAAATTTTAAATCCCTTTTTAGCTCACCTCCACGAAGTTGGGGGGAGTTTATGTGATACCCTCGGCGTCGGCGTCGGCGTCCGAAGCAAGCGTCCCAGGCTAAGGTTAAGTTTTTTGGGGCAGTTTTCTTTTTAAGTACTTCTATGTCCTAATATATTGATTAGACATGCATGGAAGATGCTTCTAGTGTCTTTCATTGTACCAGTCCAAGATTCATATGCTGCAGTTAAAACAAAGAAATGAACAGATAAATGTTTTTTAGAGCAGGTTAACATTTTTGGTGCAGTTTTTGGTGTAGGTTTCATTTCCAAGTAACTATAAGCCCTATGTCTACCAAACCTGCATGGATGATACATCTAAGGATGCATACTACCGGGCTTTGGATGCTGAATCTGACCTACAATTTCCGGTTGAGCGAACAGGTTGAAGTTTTTAGTGCAGTTTCATTTCCAATTAAGTATAAGTCTTATGTTGACCAAACTTACATGGATGATACATCTAAGGATGCATACTACCGGGCTTGCTTTGGATGCTGAATCTGACCTACAATTTCCGGTTGAGTGAACAGGTTAAAGTTTTTAGTGCAGTTTCATTTCCAATTAAGTATAAGTTTTATGTTGACCACACTTGCATGGATGATACAACTAAGGATGCATACTACCGGGCTTGCTTCGGATGCTGAATCTGACCTACATTTTACGGTTGAGTGAACAGGTTAATGTTTTTGTGGAGGTCTCATTTTCAAGTAACTAAAAGCCTTATGATGACCAAACTTGCATGGATGATACATCTAATGATGCATACTACTGGGCTTGCTTCGGATGCTGAATCTGACATACATTTTACGGTTGAGTGAACAGGCTTAAGTTTTTGGTGCAGGTTTCGTTTCCAAGTAACTTAGGCCCAGTAGTGACCAAACTTGCATGGATGATACATCTAAGGATGCATACTACTGGACTTGCTTCGGATGCTTAATCTGACTTACATTTTACGGTTGAGTGAACAGGCTAAAGTTTTGGGTGCAGGTTTCATTTCCAAGTAACTTAGGCCCAGTAGTGACCAAACTTGCATGGATGATACATCTAAGGATGCATACTACTGGACTTGCTTCGGATGCTTAATCTGACTTACATTTTACGGTTGAGTGAACAGGCTAAAGTTTTGGGTGCAGGTTTCATTTCCAAGTAACTTAAAGCCCTATGTTTATCAAACTTGCATGGATGATAAATCTAAGAATGCACACTACCGGGCTTGCTTCGGATGCTGAATCTGACCTTCATTTTCCAGTTGAGTGAACTGGTTAACATTTTTGATGGAGGTTTCATTTCCAAGTAACTTAGGCCCAGTGGTGACCAAACTTGCATGGATGATACATCTAAGGATGCATACTACCAAGCTTGCTTTGGATGCTGATCTGACCTACTTTTTTGTGGATGATTGAAAATATTTTTGATGCATGTTTTATTTCCAATTAACTATAAGCCCTATAGTGAGCAAACTTGCATGGACGATACATCTTATTATGCACACTAATGGACTTGCTTCGGATGCTGAATTCGACATACATTTTTCAGATAATAGACCAGGTAAAAGTTATGGTTGCAGGTTCCAAAAAACTATAAGGCTTAAATAATATTGTATAAACCAAACTTGCGCAAATGTTGCATCAAGAGATGAAAACTCTCAAATTTGTTTCAGATGCTGGATTTTGATGACATTTTCATGAAGGAGAATTAGATTAATTTTTTTATGTAAGTCTATTTCAAAGTATCAGATCAAAATTGCTTAAATATTTTCATTTATGGAATGGACACTTTTTTTTGGATAATTGTGTGACTTTGCCTTACTTAAAGACAACATTCGTTGAGGTGAGCTCTGTAATCTCTGATTACCTATGTTTTTATATATGTCAAAATTTAGTATTTTTATCTTTTAGGGATGTTTTGTCTTAGATATAATTTATCCTGGCCTCATTTCAGGTCCGCCACAATTTCGCGACAAAAGTCAATTGAACAAGTGGATAGCACGCCCCTCGCATGCTACGGCCGAATTCAAATGTATGGTATGTGGAAATCCGAAGCCAAAAGTTACATGGTTTGCTAAAGGACAAGGCATTAATGCCAGCATCAGTGGAAAGGTTTGTACAGAACTTTTTTTTTACCTTATAATGAACACAGAGAAAGTTGATGAAAAAAATACAATTCACAACAGTTTTTTTTTCTCCCCCCGCCCCCCCCCCCCCCTTAAAAATGCATGTACTTTAATTGTTACTGATACAGACAATAAAAAGAAGTCTGTAACATTTTGGATTTTTTTTATTTGCCAATTTAAGTTTCCACAAATAACTATGTCAGGGATTAACATGTCACGGATTAAAAAGAGAAACAGATGCAAGATCTGAAATTACCAAAGTGGCCCTTTAATCAATTATAAATTTACAGTCCTTCATGGTAAGAGACCAACATGGCCCACTAAATAATTCTGTGATGCCCATTACTTCTGTCATAAGCAAAGAAAATTAAAGCTTGGTAGTACCTGGTTAACATCACCGCTGTTAATCCTCCACAGACTGAAGGGTATTATCCCCTTCCCAGGGTGCACTTGTTACCTCATAATTAAACTATTTTGTTGCTTCTTAGCACTGCTGGGTCCAAAAAAAACTTTCCCAGAAAAAGTACCCCACCCCCCCAAAAAAAAGTTGTGAATGTTTCGGGCTTTGTGAGTGCCAGGCTGATTTATCCCTGGCTCAGGGGAAAATCCGGAGGATGATCAGTCAAGGATATAGAAATTAGCTAATTTTATGAAATTGAACGATGGCAGTGGTGTGAATCGAATCATGGCCAGAAAGGCTTGTTGATATGAAAAATCTGTCAAAAGTAAGGCCTGTAAGAGGAGTGCTCTTTATAATCTCAGATGAATCGAGAGCCAGCGGTACCAGATGTGAAATTTTATTATATTTTGATGATTTATCAGAGGGGGGAAAACACACTCAAAATTTTACATAAGTTAAGAAGTGTTATTAAACAAGTTCAAGTAAAGCAAAAAAAAACATCTTGAAACTTTAAAACGAAGAAAATTTAGATAAAAAGTCATAGATTTGTCGTTCAAATTAAAGCTTGTTTAATTAGTGTGCTACATGTATACTGATATCTGAGCATGAAACCAGGAAATGAAGGTTAAGGATGGGTCTTGGTTAGAATTTTTATATTTGTGTATTTACACTTTCCCAATGCTTGAAGATGAAAGACATTCAAATCATGGTCACCCATTCCCCCTCCTTAAATCTTAAGTCTGATTTTCATTTTAAAGCTGGAAAACATAAGCAATTCACGCTCCATGAAGAATGAATATTAAGGTGATTCCACCCTCACAATTTTATAGGTTCAAAGTACAAAAACTGCATTTATTTTCATTAAATATACTTTAAACTTTCCAATTATTGCAAAAAATGTATAGGTCACCATATTATTTAAGATGCAAAACATTAATAAACAGAAGTGTATGTCAACATAAAAAAAAAGCACTTTTTTTATAAACAGTATTATGAAAAATATGTAAAAACTGGTTAGAATGCATAATTCTGATGCTGAGTGTTCCTAAATACTTCCTACTTAAAAGATACTTTTGAATTGTGAATATCAGGGAAACTATTTTACAATAAAGCAAATGCCAGAATAGAGAGACCTTAGAAGGAGTTATTGCCCTTGTCAACATTTTTTAAAGATTAAATAATTTATTAAATATAGAAAATATGCATTTTTTAAATTCTGTAACTTAACAATATTTATCATTACACCTATTGTAAAGCATTCTTCCAAGAGATATTGTTCTATTAGGTATGAATTTAAACTAATTACAGTTTTTGCAAAAATCTATGACATCATAGGAGGGTGGAATTACTTTAAGAGCCATTCATTTGCAAGATTGGCATGAATTATTAACTGAAGTATTAGATTTATGCACTTTTAATGGTAATTTTTGTTTTACCTGGAGCTTTGACTTTTCCTAAATGCTAAATTAATTATTGTTTTGTTGTTTTCAGTACAAAGTTAGAAGAAAGACCTTATTGGTAGTGGATGCTGTCTCCAAAAAAGATGAGGGGTTATACATGTGTGTTGTGGAGAATGAACATGGCTCCGTCAATCACACATATGAACTCAAGGTCATAGGTAGGTAACACCCCCACCCCTCAATCCCATCCCAACTCGCTCTATTCTGTTGTCGTAATGTATGTTTCAGACATGTCGGAGGAAAAATTGGCCACTGACATGTCTATAAAGCTTTCCCTCTAATTTCAAGCAATTATAACCATCTCAGCATGGTGTGATTCATCATAGTTTACATCAGCTCTATAATAACAAGATATACTTAAAATCAGACAAAAGATATTTATAGACGTAAGCCTAGGCAAAAGCATATGTGAGATCAATGCTTGGACCTGAGTACTTAACAATGATTAATGTGGATTTTGAAAAAACTACTGGTGTGTGTGTGGTAAATAAGTCTAATAGCAAAATGTCAAAATATCTAACAAAACTAGGGGAAGAAATAAGATAAGAATTAAATAAACATGTATTCAATAGACAGGCGATATCGTTGGAGATAATTTCTGGTGAGGCGTATTACTGAGAGAGATGTGATTATAGAGAGAGAGGTACGTTGCTCCTTGCTTATACTTTTGGAGGTGGTAAATGCTTTTTTGGGACGGAGTTGTTGGCAGATTCTGTAACATAATATTACATTTACAACCAGCATCAAACAAATGACTCTGACAGCTTATAATTTCTTATTTGCTAAGTGTTTTATTCTTGTCCTCAGCAAACAAAGGGAAAAGATAAGATGGAGTAATTGTTGAGTACCTGTGATAATTGTTGAATGACGCAGTCTTTGTTTTCCGAACAACAGAAAATTATTTCAAGACAAACATGACATTTGGGTCACTATAATTTTCAAACCTAGGTCTTGAAAATCAAAAATGATAAACACTAAAATAAATAAATTTTCTTTCCTCCAAAATATGGAATGAAGAAGAATTTTCTCAAAAAATCATGGAATAGAAAATGTCTTTATGCCCAATTTAAAAATGGTTCTTTTTGGCTGTTAACTTTTATTTAACTTAATGACTGTACTATTGTAGATCAGATGCTGACAAAGCCGGTGATACAGGGGCCACTGAACCAGACTGTGACCTATCTAGACGATGCGAAATTTCAGTGCAAGGTAGTCATGAGTGACCTCCAGTCCCACATCCAATGGCTTAAACATTACCAGGTCAACGGCTCGTTCACCAATGAGGACGAAGATCCATACGTCCATGTCATACAGGTATTATCTCTTTTTTAAAGCACTAAACTTTTTCTTCTTGATGCACAAACCACAATGTCTTTTTATGGCAATAAATGTGTGACTCACTTCTTATCTATTTAGAGGTATACGAAAAAAAGATCAAAAATTCTTTCTTGTCTCCTTGTATGACAAACTATAAACTTTGTTGTTCATGTTTATCCTTTAAGAATTTACAACAGGGCAAGAAGGTAACGTATGAGATATGTTGCATCTCTCTCTGGTCATGTCCCAATTAGAATATAACAGCAGTGCTATGTTGATATGTTTATCAAAGTCCACTTTTAGTTTACAAATAACAGAAACTTCAGATGAATCCAGCATGGTTTTAATGCGTCCTTTCCTCGGAAAACTTATAAGCATGGAATCCATTCTGTAAATAAATGATTATTATAATTACACAGAAACTGGCAGACTGTTGTCATCTTTTCTTGTATGCTATTGAGAGCCTGATAGAAAGAGAAATTCTCATCTTAAAACCAAGATTTGAGAGGGGACAGGGTTGGGGTGGGAGTTTATGTCCAACTAAAAGCATGAAATCAGATATTAGTTTGGGCACGTAAAATGAACCAGAAATAGGGGGTCGGGTCGGTGGCGTGTGGGGTTATCAAATATGTAAAATGAAAGGCATGTCTCCTGAAGTGAAGACCAATTTGTGAAGACAGTGTGCATGGTTGTGTTGTCATTGTATGCAATATAAGTGATGTTCAGTGTTCTTGTATATGTATATAATGAAGTAGATAGTTTATCAGACTTGTGCCTTCATTGTCTGTTTTATCAGCAAGAACTGTTTGTGTATATTCCTCTTGATAATGAAGATTTTCTTTACAAAAACTCACCGAAATATGGCAATAATATTGCCGACTGGGCGTAAAACAACAATAATCAATCTTTAGAAAATGTTCAAATTGATTGGGTTTTTTTGGTTAGTTAAGGTAATAATTAAGACTTGATAATTCATACTTTGTTTCTTATTTTAGCAATCCTTCTTCAACCTCACCGATCCAGAGATTTTGTACATCAGAAACGTAACATACGAGGATGCGGGCTGGTACACTTGCTTGGTGACCAATTCCATGGGTCGAGCCTATCAGAGTGCATGGCTGACAGTCGAAGGTAATTATTTGTTCTTCTGTCTATCCTAACAGAACAGGCAACATAGAAAAAAAAACACAAAATATTTTGGAAGGAACTCCATATTTATATTTATATTTTTTGAAAAATCTTTTTAAAAACAAATGTATGTTGTCTGTTCTTATTTATTACTGAGCTTTAATTTCTCCTCCATGGTTGTTGTTGAATTAACATTTGATAACATCACCCATTTCTTCTACCTAGATTTTTTTTCTTCCTCCATGTTGGCGTCCTTTTTTCTCAGTTTCTCTGAATAAAATTTTTTTCACCAGTCACCTGAACTCTAGGTTACTTCTCTAATTTACCAAAAGAAAAAAAATATAAATTAAACAAAATATTATGCCCAAGGGCCGCAGCGCTCACCTGAGCACATCAGGCTTGAATTTCCTCCTCCCCCCCTCCAGTCGTTCTTCATTTGAACAAACTAGAATCTACACTACCTGAGGATAATTCCATATAAATATCACTAATCATAGGTTTGGAGTACTTGAAAAGAAGATTTGAAAAGGTTTCCCTGAATATCCCTATGTAAAACATGGGTCGGCCATTTTGGACCCACCTTAGCCCCGGGGGTCATGATTTGAGCAAACTTGAATCTACATTGCCTGAGGATGATTCCACATGAGTTTCTTTCTTTCCTGGCCCAGTGGTTCTTGAGAAGGATTTTTAAAGATATTTCCTATATATTCTTATGTAAAACTAGGGTCGGCCATTTTGGCCCCACCTTTGACCCGGGGGGGGGGGGGGTGATTTGAACAAACTTGAATCTACACTACCTAAGGATGATTCTACATGAGTTTCATCTTTCCTTGCCCAGTGGTTCTGGAGAAGAAGATTTTTAAAGATTTTTCCTATATATTCCTATGTAAAATTTGGATCGGCCATTATGGCCCCACCCTTGCCCCGGGGGTCATGATTTGAATAAAACTTGAATCTACACTACCTGAGGATGATTCCACATGAGATTCATCTTTCCTTGCCCAGTGGTTCTGGAGAAGGAGATTCTTAAAGATTTTTCCTATATATTCCTATGTAAAACTTGGTTCGGCCATTTTGGCCCTAACCTTGCCCCGGGGGTCATGATTTGGAAGAACTTGAATCTACACTACCTGAGGATGCTGTCACATGAGTTTCATTTTTCCTGGCCCAGCGGTTCTGGAGCAGAAGATTATTTAAAAATGCCATGAATTCTTAACAAATTCATGATTATATCCCCTTGGAAAAGGACATGGCCCTTCATTTGAACAAATTTGAATTCCCTTCACACAAGGATACTTTGTGCCAAGTTTGGTTGAAATTGGCCCAGTGGTTCTTGAGAAGAAGATGAAAATGTTAAAAGTTTACGACAACAACAACAACAACGACAACGACGAGGACAGACAACGGAAAAATTTTATGAGAAAAGCTCACTTGAGCCTTCGGCTCAGATGAGCTCAAAAGAAAGCATTTTATTGTTTATATAAACACAATGTACCCCATTATGCACTTAAAGTATTTTCTAAATGGTAGATTTTTCTGACGTTTTTTGTTATGATTTCATGATCCTAGATTAATTGACTAGAATGAAAATAACAATGCACTCACTTTCTACATAATTAAACAGAAAATTTCTGCCACCAATGACCAGCAAATCTTCATTATTCAATCCTTGGCCAATATCAACTGCTTCTCAATTTACAATGACAGGACCTTTACTATAACTAGGAGACTTATTGTTCAGAGAACAATTAGAAGTCTTTCAACCTTCTTTGAATTTCAAATTTGTTTTATATCTGACTCCTTGAAATTAAATTCCATGAAAAAAGAAAAATCAAAATTGTTTTAAAGCATAAAAAAATGATAATAAAAAAATGGAATGACCTAGACCTTTACCTTAAAAATATTCAAAGTCAAAGATCATTGGTCACAATGCAATTGATCTCATCCTTCGGCGACTTATAGTTTTCAGGTTATAAGGTTTAATATTAAGAACAAAGAAGTTAAAGGGCAATAACTCATATAAGGGGTTATTAGATCCATTCGCACTTATACAGTGAAGTTAGGCCTAAAGACCTTTAAGACAATAGTTTCCACAAGATGAAACACACCCTTTAAGTCCAGCTTAATGGTGGCTTATAGGTCCTTAATGGTGGTTTAATGGTTGTCTTTAAGTCACCATTAAGTCACCATTAAGCACTTTTAAGTAACATTTACACCACCATTAAGTTACCATTAAGCCAACTCAACGTCCCTAATGGGTGCTTAAATGTAGCTTAATGGTAGCTTAATGGTGGCTTACAGGTCCTTAATGGTAACTTTAAGACCATCATTAAGTCACCATTAAGCTACCATTAAGGTAGATTTACAGGTGCTTAATGTCCAATCTCCATTAAGCCATCATTAAGCTACCATTAAGCCACCATTAAGTCACATTACGCAGTCAATAATATTGTTTATATGGGTGAAAAATTATTTTTATAGTGATTTGTTATCAATATTATAAATCTAGAGTTCGCTTATATCTTGACTTGGTAAAAATAATGAAAAAGAACGAAATTCAAAATAAAAAAAAAAAACAAAACAAAAACGCCACTGTCGGGGCTCGATCCAGTGACCTTTGGATTGCAAGGCAAACGCCTTATCCATTACGCTATTGCCGCTCTTGATAAGGGAATGAAAATATTGACTATTTAACCTTTATTTTTTTTCAAAATTTGTTTCGACTTGAAAAGGTACTTACTAGCATTTTGTTGAACATTTCAAAAAGTCTTGAATTGATTAATTAATCAAAATATAAACAATTTTATTTGTGGATCTTAACACATTAATTAAGCGGTTAGCTTCGCTAGCCGGTTTATGGCATGTGTCCAGTTTTTATCGATACCGGAAACTTCCATAAGGCGCTACCTATCGACAACGGAAACTTCAACAAAGCCTCTACCTAGTACCTATGATTTGTTTCTAACACATATAACATATGTCAAATAAAATCAAGACTATCAAAACAATTATTTGAACCCAATGTTACACGAAAACCTGTAGGCAAATCCGATTTATGTGTTAAATTGAAGCCTAGTCGAACAGGTGGTCAAAATGACGTTGCACACGTTGTGTATTTATATATAGAGAGGGTAGAATGTTACGATATTTGTCTAATTTAGAGACTTACTGATAAAAATTCAGGTGGCTGTTATTAATTATAAGGCACCCCTCATGAACAATAAATATTCGACCGAATTATGATACTAGGCACAGGGAGGAGGGGTTAATTACTGGCTAATGGGTTGAAGGTTATTACCGACTGCAAAACATCGGAGAATCTCTCGATCGAGTTACATTTTCCAAAATGTTAAGGCATCCCTCTCATTAACTTAAGTAATACTAGTACACAAAGAAAGCCTTTCTATAAAAATACTGAATACATCATTCTGTAAGTTGTACAGTTATGGATTACTTCCATAATGTTTTCTTCTCCTTTTTTCTCAATTGAAATTATTTAAAAGATGATAAAAGCATTGTTTCCAGGGATAAATTCTGTACTCAGTCTACTTATTACAAACGATTTTAAACTTATCACATTTTTATTTTTAAATGAAATAATGGGAACCTGAAAATATTAAAATTAATTTTTAAAAAAATGAAAAAAAAAATTAATCGGCATTGGATCCTTTTCTTAAAATCAGCCGATATAAAATATGCACAGAAAAAAAGATGCATGAAAATCTGAACAATAAGCACAAATTGAAAATTAAATCTAATAAATGATTATTTTTGAAAGTTTGCGAAATTCCTGTGCAAGGTATAAGTTGTAAAAAGTAAAAATACATTTTAAATTTGAATTATCAAAATTGTTAATTATCATTTTGAGCCTTTGAGAAGAAATAAAAATTAAAATTCAGATGCTTACAGGCATATTGATAGAAATTCGCATACTTGTTTTTAGCAAGAAAAAAACAAAAAAAAAAAAAAAAAAAAAAAAAAAAACAAAACAAAACAAAAAAAAAACAATGTATTGCTTATGCGACATATTGAAGAAAGTGACAATGATACCTAGGTAATTCTTGCAATGGACAATTAAATATTTGTTAGACTGACTTTTAGCGAACCTTTGAATTTTTAAAATGCTATACATATCGTGCAAGACTCTTTTTTTTTAAATAATTGTCATATACTATTTACTTATTCAAACGCTTAATTGTATGAAAAGTCCATAATGTATATTTCCTAAAACTTTATTATCTTGCTTACTTGTCTTTCTTCCTGTGAGAGAAATAGTTCATAAAATTAATAAACAGATGTACTCAGTATCTGTATCAAAATACAGAATGAACAATGAACGGTCTCAAAAGAAAAACGGATCCTTGAAAGTTCCGGTGCCTAGGAGAAGTAAGCATCCCAATGAGAGGTCACACCTGCATGCTGACCCGCAGTGAGCCTACGAAACTGACGCTATCTGAAATTTAGCTGCAGAACTGCAGATATCCAGAAAAATATATATTAATAGACCGGATAGCTACAGTGCCAACCATTGAAAAAAACTGTATATTTATTGCGCATGAAAAAGTGCGCTCGGTTTTCGATTTATTTCTCCATGTTCCTAAAACTGTAATCTCAAAATATTACTAACCGTGTGTTCCTAACATACTCTTTGACTCTTTCCACAACAAAACATTCGTCATAATTGTTGTTAATAGTCCTTTTGACGCTGATATTGTCATCATCGAACATTTCGATTATACCGGGGTATATACTGCTATTTTGGTTTCAAAGATAATTCGGTCCAATATGCTTCGTTCAGATGTCAACTACGAATGTAGAGGGAGGGAAACTTTTTTAAATCTACTCTCTTTTGCAATTGAGGTAAGAATTTGGAAGAAATAATCAAGAACCGAGCGCACTTTTTGTGCGCAATAAATATACAGTTTTTTCAATGGGTGGCACTGTAGCTATCCGGTCTATCAATATACATTTTTCTGGATAGCTACAGATCTGCAGCTATCTGA